TTTTGAAAAAGTAGCATTTTTGTAAAGATTTCAAAAGTGTGGTATTTTTGTAAAGTCGAACTTAAAAATGACAATTTTTTTTAATTTCTGTTTAACAATGAAGTGGGAAATATTAAAGAAAGAAGAAGCTAGCCCATGATCTATTGGGCTTCAAAACGATAGCCCAATTTTAGAAACATATTTCAACACTTTAACATTGACAAAAAAAAAAATCATTCTAAAAATGTTTACATATCCAAATGATGATGCTCTCTACTAAAGGCATTGAATTTTGGTTCCCGATTACGAATGTATATGATCTTCGTCTCGTACACTTGAATCGAGCAGAGACACAATCTTGGAGATGGGAAGAAGATATCAAAGGAAGAGTTTCAAAAGCTTCTTCAGGAGGTTTTGATCGGAGCTGGGTTTACCGGTGTCGGAGGAGTAAAAGAGTTTCTACTCTTCATCTTCGGAGTTCCTGCCTTCGCCGTCTTCCTCAAGAACCGTATAGCTCCGGCTTCCATTCCCAACGACTTGTTCATCCCCGCTGTTACTTCCGCCACCGTCTTCGTCCTCGCCAAGCTCAACAAGATATGACTCTATTTGTTTTTTTTTTTTCGAGCATTGCTTTGTTTTTTCTAAATTTGTATTGAGGATTTGATTGTGAAATATATGGAAAAAGGATAAATGGGATTTAAAAGTTTCAATTTTTCGAGTTCATTTGCTAGTTTCATGAAATGGACTTAAGTTGTTCGACATAATGCGTCAGTGAGTTCGAGTTAACTCTGTTTCTGACTGTAAATGAATGCAAATTGGAGAATTTCGTCTAAATTGGTCCAATTTAAAAAAATTAAATTTCGTTTTTAAAAAAGATATGTGTTCTTTGTATGAGAGGGAAGCAAGGAGAAGCTAAATATAGAGAATTCGAGGGTCTTGCTTGTTTCTCTAAATTTCAAGGCTTTCATTGGTTTGAGGATATGAACGAGTCCTTGTTTGAATAATGACAAAATTAGTTTGTAAAACTGATAAGAAAAGATGAAATCTCGGAGACATTTTTTCCATTTTAACTCTTTTTTTGACCATTAGTTTTTCTCTCTTTTTCTTTGTTTGGTTTGGAACATGGTCCAGAGCAACATTCAATCCAATAATGCTGCAATCTGAAAGAAAAAGTAAGCTCTTTGCCTCCGACTCAGTTACATTGAGATCACAGAGGCCAACGAAAATGACCAATGACATATGTTTATTGATTTCTTGTACATCTTTAGGATTAACACACTTGTTTTATGAGGGCATGTTTCTAGTTGCTGATAACAAACAGTTTTTTTAGATAAGAAATTTCTTAGTTTAACACAATGAGCAAGGATCAAAGCTATGTTCTGAAAGCATGGGAGGTGACCGTGCGAAAGACCCAGCAAGCGAAGAAGCGGGCAAATAGCGTTTTTGGAACAGTATCTGTAGCTCCACATACAGATAACGATACGGCAACTGATGAGTATGACGATGAGACCACCACTAATAGGAGCAGCACAGAGGAATTCTACCATGCCGAGAGAGTGCTTCCCAATGGAGACTACTACACAGGGCAGTGGTATGATAGCTTTCCTCACGGGCATGGAAAATACCTCTGGACAGACGGCTGCATGTATATTGGTGAGTGGTACAATGGGAAAACCATGGGGAATGGAAAGTTTGGGTGGCCATCTGGTGCCACATACGAAGGAGAGTTTAAAAGTGGTTACATGGATGGTATTGGCACATACACAGGTCCGAGTGGAGATGCTTATAAAGGTCAGTGGGTGATGAACCTGAAGCATGGACATGGTGTCAAGAGTTTTGCAAATGGAGATGCCTATGAAGGTGAATGGAGGAGAGGTTCGCAAGAAGGTCAAGGAAAGTACCAATGGAGCGATGGGAGCCATTACATTGGCGAATGGAAGAATGGTACGATCTATGGCAAAGGGAGTTTTGTTTGGACAAATGGAAATAGATACGATGGGTTTTGGGATGAAGGGTTTCCTAGAGGGAATGGAACGTATAAATGGGATGATGGGAGTTTCTATGTTGGCAATTGGTCTAAGGATCCAGAAGAAATGAATGGTACTTATTATCCGTCAGGAAATGAAGGGAATCTTGAATGGGATCCGAAAGATTTGTTTAACAATCTGAGTGAGTACAAGATCTGCAGTGGAGAGAGGGTTCCCACTTTGCCTTCACAGAAGAAACTATCTGTTTGGAACTCTTCCAAGCGTATAGAGAAGCCTAGGAGGATGTCAGTTGATGGGAGAGTAAGTGTGGGCGTAGATAGAGCGTTTGAGAAGATGAACATGTGGGGGAACGAAATCGGTGAAGGAGGTGCCGATATGAGAAAGGAGTTGGATGCAGAGTTGATGAGATTAGAAGCTGAAGGCATTCAGAGCCTGAAGTCGAGCACTGTGCCTATGAAACTGCCAAAGGCTGGGAGGAAACAAGGGGAGACAATATCCAAAGGCCATCGCAATTACGAGCTTATGCTTAATCTACAGCTAGGAATCAGGTAAATACGAGAGAGACTATGCATCCTAAGTTATACAATTTGATCTTTGTTGTTTTATGTATGCACAGGAGCAATGCTTGTGTTTTTGTGTCATGTTTAGTGATTTTGTATCCACAGGCATTCAGTCGGAAGACAAGCTCCAGTGGCATCTCTTGATCTGAAGCCTTCAGCTTTTGATCCAAAAGATAAGATATGGAGGAGGTTTCCGCGCGAAGGAACCAAGTACACACCTCCACATCAATCTACTGAATTCAAATGGAAAGATTATTGCCCACTAGTTTTCAGGTGAGACCCAAAAAGCCCTCTACTTTTTTCACATTGCCACTAATTCTGTCTTGCTTACACTTAACATGTTTTGCTTTTACCAGGAGCTTGAGGAAGCTATTCAAAGTAGACCCAGCTGATTATATGTTATCGATCTGTGGGAATGATGCCCTTCGAGAACTATCATCTCCTGGTAAAAGTGGGAGCTTTTTTTACTTGACAAACGATGATCGTTACATGATAAAAACAATGAAGAAGTCAGAAACAAAAGTGAGTTTTTTCAAGTATTGCTTGCTAGTTCCCAGTATTTGGATTGGATTGCATTTACTGAAACGTTTCATCTTGGTATTCTTGATGTAGGTGCTTCTGAGGATGCTTGCAGCATATTACAACCATGTTCGAGCATTTGAGAACTCATTGGTAATCAGATTCTTTGGTCTACATTGTGTGAAATTGAATGGACCAACCCAAAAGAAGGTAGATACAAAACATTAACACTTAATGTGGCATGGCTTTTGCAATGATTGGTTTGGTTTCATATCTCTTTTGGTCTGCGAATAATGCAGGTGCGGTTCGTCATAATGGGTAATCTGTTTTGTTCGAAGTACTCTGTTCACAGACGCTTTGATCTAAAAGGATCTTCTCTTGGCCGCACAACCGATAAACCCGAATCAGAAATCGATTCAAACACGATCCTGAAAGACCTCGACCTGAATTTCATCTTCAGATTGCAGAAGGCATGGTACCAAGAATTCATCAGGTGAAAACCATTATACTTTACTCTTCTTCATAGTTCATTTGTGCTTGTTTCATCTCTCATAATTAATTACATCACAGGCAAATCGATAAAGACTGCGAGTTTCTAGAACAGGAGAGAATCATGGATTACAGTCTTCTAGTTGGTATTCACTTCAGAGAAGCTTCAGTTGCTGGAGAGCTGATTCCTTCTGGAGCTCGAACACCTATTGGTTCGCTTCTGTCGAATCAAATAATTGTTCTTTCCCCATCAGGAAATATGTATCATTCACAGAACCAAAAACATGATTGTTTTCTTATATACAGGTGAATCAGATGAAGAAACAGGTCATCGTCTCTCTAGAGCAGAGGTTGATCAACTACTTTCAGATCCCTCAAGGTAACACAACACTAGAGACCAATACCAACACTTTTAAAACTCAAAAGAGAAGCGCATAAATATGGATTTGGTTATGGTTGTGTTGTTTCAGGTGGGCTAGTATCAGACTAGGAACCAACATGCCAGCACGTGCAGAGAGAACGATGAGGAAAAGCGACTGCGAGTTTCAGCTTGTGGGAGAGCCTACAGGAGAGTTTTACGAAGTGGTGATGATCTTTGGCATAATTGACATTCTTCAAGATTATGATATCAGCAAAAAGCTTGAACATGCTTATAAGAGCATACAGTATGATCCTTCCTCTATATCTGCGGTTGATCCAAGACAATACTCGAGGCGTTTCCGTGACTTTATCTTCAAAGTATTCACATATGATAATTGAGAAGGTTTGTATTGTCTCTTGGGGCAGTTTTTAGGTTTCTTGTATCCCAAGAAAGAGTATAATTCAGCAAGGGCTCTGCAAACTAGCGACCTTGCAAGTATGAAGTATGACTCCAAT